TTGTAAGTTTATGAAACTTTTGTTTATAAATCATTGTTTGTAATAACAATTTGTAATAATTGTTATTGTAAATTGTAGTGTTGTGTGTATATTAATATGTATTTGTGTTAAAAAAGAAAACTGTGTGTCAGTCTTTTTGGCAAATATTACAAATTGACTATATATCGGCATTTATTCAAATATTAAATCCAAAGTAAAATTTAACTACTAAATTTAAATTATCAGTTAACTCAATCTGAGACCATTTGGAATTCGAATACAACAACACACTGATGGCCGAAAGTATGGATCGTGTTTTTGCAGCAACAAGACGTGGATCGCAGATATTCAGATTCACGTACCAACTCGCCAGCCACTAAGCCACACTCGGGCCTTATGATATACATTTGACAAATTCGTTGTTAAAAATATTGTCGACTTTACAAAAATAAATAAATTTGGATGTGAATGAAGTAAGGTCCTGATAATCAAATCTCCTGAAGAAACATTGGTAAGTAAGAGATTGAAAATATTCTTATTTGTACAGAAAAAAGTTAGGCACTGGTGACATATCAATAATCGTTATTGCTTTTAAGCTCTTTGATGTACCCGCAGAAAACAAACGTAATATACAAAAAAAATTTAATCCTGTAAAATAACTTTTGTCTGAAACGTGTCTGTTTTGTATACTAGCAAGTGATTTTAGGTGTATGCGATTTTCAATAATTAATTATAATAGTTTCGTGTGTTTATCTTATTTTTTTCTTTCTCATATCTTGTACTAATTTAATTGTATTATTCTCCAAGTTTAAGCGTGCTTAAGAAAGCATTACATTTTCTGTGGTGTTTTGAGACTCCTTACAAATTTTAGTATGCATTTAAAATGATTCGTTTTAGTGATAAAAACCCTTGGCCATTTCTTTATTCACGTGAAAAATGAAAATTTTTAACTGTAGGTTTTTAGTAAAGACAACTTTTTAGGCTTAAAGAGAGGGCATGAAAATGCAGTAATATATTTTTTCCAAACCTCTTAAATATATCAACATTAATTAAATGGTAAATCTTGGATTTACCACAATATTTCATTATAGAACGTTGCGATTTCCATGTTTACAGAAGTTGGGTAACTTTGCATAAGTTATTATAGAAAGCGGTCGATTACGATTTGATTATTTATGTAACGTCCTTTGATAGAAAGTTGAGAACTGTATTTTAGGAGTCGATGATATACTGGTTATCTTATTTAATGTTGCCAGTCCATATTTTAAATACTGAATATATGACAAACCTCTGACTTCTTAACGTAATTTTAGCGTTATAAAAAAGATTCCCTTTAATTAAAAATGTTGTCTTCAATGTAGCATTTTAAGATAAGAATTGTTCTCATTGTATGCTTAGAAGAAAACAACTGATTTATACTTACTCAGAGGATGAATCCATGTATGCAGTTTTAAAATTATGAAACAAGAAATATTATATATATATTCCTTTTAACCTTTGCTGTTGTTTATAAAAAGACAAATGACAGTATCGACAAATGTGCTCTCTGAGTAAAGACTGTTTAATAATGATGTCATTCTGTGATTGTTTGAATAGGTTTCAATTTTGAGACTACATATCATATTTTACTACCAAATGCCATACTAGCAAAATATTTGCAAATGAAAAAGTTCATTAAGCAGAATAAACGACCATTATGAATCGTAGATCAAAACCTCCCTTATAAAGAGGCCACTAATTTTTAGTGACTCTGTATTTTGAAATGAAGCAGCCTGCAGGGTACAACTCACAAAATTATACATATTCGCCAAATTAGTACTACTATTTCTGTTAGAATTTGCTCTATTTTGTCGATCATATTTAAAACATAACTAACTTCCAGAAAGAATATGCTCTGAATAGAAAAGTATAACAATTTTAAACATAAATATACACTAGTCTCGTGTTTCTATAAACAGAGAAAATGCGTGGAACACTTTAGACTCCAGAATCTTAGTGCATTTTTATCTTTATCCTTCAGGAAACTTGGCATTATACTCCAAAATTAAAATTGATCAGCTGTGCTACCTACAAAACTGTATTCTTATTAAGTCATTTAGGCGGAGCATCTTTAAAAGTAGAAAAATAAAACAACGTTTTTCAGTTCATTCGTTTTAAGTTTCTTTATCCTACTTATACCACAATCTTTTTAAAAGTAATATTTAGTCATTTTCTGTAGATACAAGATAGATATTTTTATTACTAGTATGCGTTAATGTACACGTTCAAACTAATACATCATTAAACTAATATAAAAAAGGCAAGGTATGTTTTAGCTCTTATTAATTTGGTCGAGCACCTGAATTTGTACATTTTTATAGAAAAAAGTTACTAAAATAACATACTTTTTTTGGTCTGATTGATCTTGGTCGATAATATAAAGTAGATAACATGTATGAATATTAGAATGAAAAGACGATGAATCATAATGCTGTCTGTAGTTTCAGTCAATGTGCTACAGTGAAGAAAACCTATTGTTAGGGAAGTAAATGTTCCTGAAATAATGCCTTGTTCGTAGAGAAGATGAAAGGCATTTGGTTGTTGACAGTTTTGCTTCCCTCGGTATTTTAAACTCGGCCAGCAGGAAATTCTCCTCTTGCTTCCATGGTTACGAGGCGAAGTTTTAATTATATAGATTATGGTCTAGATGTGGCTTTCGCAAAATAATCGCTGTACATAACCCTTTGCCTTAAATAACCCAAAAAGTTTGAAAGATGCAATATACCTCACGGTGTTCTTCATTTCATAGATTTACCAGTAATCTATGCCTGTAATTGAGTTGCAAAACGAATAGTGATAATATTATCCACTAGAAAAACTTCGAAGTCTTCAGTATGAAGTTATTATTCTTTGTGAAAAGAAAAAATCTAAACGATTTATACTTGTTTGTTATTTTGCATATCTAGCTGTGTGGACATCTGCTTCACATAAGTGACTTCCTAGCTGTGATGACATTTAATATAACGCTAATGAAATATGCAACGTTAGAACATTTTTAGTATTTACTGGATTTCATACATTGTATTAAAGGACCGACAAGTATCTCTTAAAAAGGTCTAGAGTGATTATTTTCATTTCAAATAAAGAACATAGTCAACTAATATTTCTGTTAATGTAAATTAGTATTTCTATTAAAATAAATTATAGTCAACTAATAAGTTATCAGCTCGATTTATCTACAACAATCTGTTACCTTGACGTACCAGCAAGACAGATCCTTATTTAACCTTCTCTTAGTTCTTGCATCTACTCTGTTAAGCAGCAGGATCAGTCAATCTGTACTTTTAAGTGTAACTTGTAACTCCATCTAACTAAAGAATTCTCTGATATTGAAGTATACATATCACTGATTCTTAGATCATCTGGTGGAATTATACATTTCAGTAAATATTGAATTTCATTTTCTCTAAGATAATCGGGTTTTGTTCAAAGGAACTATACTTATAAAGTTTTCTAGCCAAATATTATTTTTATTCATTTAATTATTTAAGTTTTCGTTGAGTTAATGTTTGTGGACTACATTACAACAAAATCAAGAGCTAGAACAAACAAAATCTAAAAATTACAGCAAATTATAGCAAATAGATAGATAGCTTGAAAAATATTGTTATCTTTGTGGCCAAACTTAATAATGAATGACTTTGTGGGTCGATGGATGTTTTTTTTTATCATAATGTAAATATAGTTAGTTAACTTCTGAAGAGTTGTCAGCAAAAAAAAAAAAAAAGGAAAACTGATAACAAAAAACTATTTTCTTCTTATTACTTCTAGAGCCTCCTATCTTTGTAATATCTTGAATGGGTTGAATTGGAGTACAGATTATTAGGTAGCTCACACTTTGATATCTCTGAGAAGATTATAATGAAAACACTCAAATTGCACATACTGACCCGAGTCACGGATAGCTTATATCTGGGAGTAAATGTTTAGAGTTTGTTTGTTTTTGGATATTCGTGCATAGCATCAAGAGCTATTTGCACTAGCCGTCCCTAATTTTGAGAAGTGAAACTTGTTTCTGTAAACATATTTGTTTTCTTTTTTTTCAAAATGTCCAAAAAAGAAAAAAATATTTTAAACGAGTAATAGAGATCGTTTTATTATTTTTCAGCTGGTGTGCTTGTAATTAATATTACAAAATGCCTTTAGCTGACTTTAAGTTTCATAACTCGTTATGAAACATTTACATGATCGTCTTTAGTGTGCTTTTGTTCAGCATTTCTGTTTTATCAGAATAATATACTGTTAAATAAGCCATATACCCTGATAAAAAGGGGTTTTATTCGAAGATTGAGACGTAGTCAGTAACGTAGAGTTAAATATGCTTAGGTTTGCAGGTCTTTCGATTTTTAAACGTTCTCTGTTTAGATCATTTTACAAAATGTATTAACGTTAGTTTCTCTAAGGAAAGTGCATATTGTTAAATTCTTCATATAATCCACGTTACTTTCTTTGGGTTTCTTATATAGCGTGTATGTAAAAATTTGTTGAAGAGCTGCACAAAAGATAAAGAAATAAATGCATAAATATGAACTCACTGATGAGGAGCTCATGAAGAGAAAAAAAATCCCATTTTGAATTACTCCGTAAGTAATCAAATCGTTTTTCGCTCAAAAATACATAATAGTTTTATAAGCTAGCTGTCCCTAATTTGGAACTAATAGAGTAGAGTGAAGTAAGCTATTAAACATCACCCACAGTCAATGTTTAGGCTACTCTAATCGTATAGCGGAATTTGACAGTCACTCTTATAATAGATGCAAGTCTGTGGCGCTAAGAGAGCAATTTTTAAGCTTAAAGCTGCGTATCTAGAGCCCAGACAAACTGACTACTTGGTGACACTCGGACACAAAATATACTATGGTTGGACAACCCAATTTAGCTAATGCTTGGTACATATCTCGACATTCAACTTCTTAACGATACGATGTGGTATAATATGAAATATAATACACAGAAACTACTACTTGCAACAACACATTACATCTTTATTTGATTGAACTGTTAAATTTGGTTACAAAAAACATAACTATTTTCTCTTCGAAATAAATGTCATACTGAGGGTTATAATCGCTTCATTCGGTTTCTTAGCTTTAAAGTTTAAACTCGATTCACTAGTTTTTGTATTTCAGAAGTATCAAATTTACATTGTTTTTAAGATAAAATTTTATAGAAATCAAAATAATGTTAGAAAAAAAATGTATATTGTATATACTGTAATTATTTTACGTTGAATGATCGGAAATATCATATTGTTATTGTTTTGTACATAGCATTTAACATCTGAAATGAATGCTATATATATATATATATAAGATACACATAGAAGTTAAATATCGAAGAGTCTATATAAATTTTCAGCTAACAAATAAACATAGCAGTCTCAACACAAATTGCACTTAGCAAGCAGATTAGCTAGCACCTCTAGCAACGTAGCAATTTTCAGCCAGCATACAAACAAGCAAATATCATAGCAGAACCTAGACGTTTGTCATTGAGAGTGACAATAATATCCAATTAGATTTTTCCTGATCTTTAGGTAATTACAGAATTATTGGATTTACTTTTCATACTAGCAAGATCCTGTAGGATTTTTAAATAGCATATAAGCAAAATGTCCTCCTCTGGAGTTTAGATTGGTCAGTAACAGCAGCAGTAAAGTCTAGCAGCTTTTCAGGAGTGTACAAACAAAGAATATTCTCAATGAGACTTTATAGCTCTCATTAATGATAACAATAATGCCTATCCAATTTTGAACGGCATACAATCAGCATTAACTTCAATAATCTCGTTTGATCATCAGATAGCATAAAAATAACCTCCAACAAGCGATTTGATTTATTGTTAAGAAATTAGATAACTTTTCGAAGTTTTCAGATTTTTTATTTGTTGGTAGATTTATTAAGAGCTTCTATTAATGAGAAGTTAGAATTCAGGCAAAAAATAATCATAGATACTTTGGAATTTTCTTAACGATAACAATAACTGTTACTAATAGACAGATAACATAGAAGTTACTGCACTTTACCGATACTTTGTATTTACTGGTAAGGATATCAAGTATGTATAAGAAGTAACATATAGATGAAACACTTTACCGATACTTTGTATTTACTGGTAAGGATATCAAGTATGTATAAGAAGTAACATACAGACGAAACACTTTACCGATACTTTGGATTTACTGGTAAGGATGCCAAGTATGTATAAGAAGTAACATACAGACAGAAACACTTTACCGATACTTTGGGTTTACTGGTAAGGATATCAATAATGTATAAGAAGTAACATACAGACAGAAACACTTTACCGATACTTTGGGTTTACTGGTAAGGATATCAATAATGTATAAGAAGTAACATACAGACAGAAACACTTTATCAAACAACTTTGGAGTTGTCGATAAAGGTATTGAGAATTTCCATCTCTCTACAGTTAACAGAAGTCCAATATTTTGATTGGATACTTGGTATCTTATCATGACATTAAAACACGTAATTTTATGGGAACTATATAAAGAAATGCGAGGCTAGTTCTTAGTAGCCATCAAATTGCTAATTATGTTCCCAAAGATACTACCCAGTAGTACACTACTCTACTTTTGCAGAGGTAAAAGTTCCAACTCTGACTAAATAGGCTAACTAATAAATTAAAAAGTGATTCTATCCACAAAAGTACATGTAGCCCCAAACTGTCTCCCCAGCAGGCCGATTTCAGGCTTTAACATTTCAATATTTAAATTCTAAAAAGCCTGTAAATATATATATATATATATATATAACAATGGCAATTATTTTATAGCTTACATATGTCAGAAATCTTAAAAGTAGACATTCAAAGTTGAACATATTTGTTCTCTATTTTCTATCAGTAAAATTAACTATATTCGGGGTAGCCAAAATAGCTGCAAAACTATGACGAATTTATACTTTGGAGTTTACTGTTTTATGTCGAAAATAACATTTTTGTGTGTAAGATTTCGTTTTGTTATTTCTTATCGGGATTAGTAAAACTATTCGTGGTTCTACAAGGTTCCTTATTTCAGCCTGCTAGTGAGAAAATATCACGTACTTTTGTGTCATAGAATTTTTCTTTAACGAAAATAGCATAATTCACATTTTTTCTCACATACACAAATTCATGTTACATATTATAATAATTATCTTCGTTTTTTCACTTCTACATTAATATCTGAATTCACATAATTTACTACAATAAAAATAAAACTACATGAACAATATCACTGTTTAACAAACACTTAATGTACAAACTAACAGAGATTGTTACGACAAACCTCTTTTGATCATCGTAGAAGACCCTGTGTTCCGTCACACGATGCAAGTATGCGAACATTTCTGGTTAAAGGAGAAAGAAAATAGGTCTGCACTTATTTATTAACTTGATAAGTTGTTAAGTTTTCCTTCAGTTCTTACTCATTAAAGTTCAAAGAGTCTCGATCTTCTTCATATATTTACAAGTGGATGTGTCTTTGATTAGCATAAGTGCTGCATTAGCCTTCACACAATATTGTACTTTGTTATTGATTTTGTCCCATTTTTAATCAAATTAATCGAAATCATCACGTTTCATTGACTCGACGTTTTTGGTAACAGGCCACACTCGTTTATCTCACTTATATGTGGAAATGCCCAGCTAAGCCTCCTTCTACTTAATTTGTCAACAAACTTTTTTACTTCTATTCCTTATTTTATTCAATAAGGAGTGTTAAGGCAATCGGAAAATCTAAGTTTCTCCACTTAATAATTGAGTAATATCTTCATCAACATCAATCAGAAAGAAATATCTTCATCAGTTAGCTATCCTTACATGATACTTTATCAACATACTTATTAGATACATTTCCTCCTGCTTGTTAGTTGATGCAACTTCATCAACTATATTTCCTTATAAAACAACATGTTAACATCCTGACCAATTAGCTGTCCTTAGATGAGAATATATCAGTATTTTTCATATGATAATATGTCAAACCTCTGATTCACTTGTAAAATATTGCAACAAACATTGTAAGCAGCTGCACATGAATCTGAAAAAAATCTGATCAGATTAGGCTTTTATAATATAAGATTACTAAATATGATGTGCTGGGGATTCTCTCACTTGAATATAGCAGCAATTTGATCAGTCATAAGAGTCAATCCACACACGTTTGTCTGCAGTTGTCCTTCGTCTATATCATTTAGATGTCTTTCCTTGTGGTTGTTTAACATCCCAATGATTAGGCGTCTTCACAGGTGAATTATGAATATCTAGATTAACTATGTTTTAGTTTTCTCGTATATATGTCAACACTGGGATCACTTGACTTAGCGTTCACTGTGCATGAAAGTCGTACAAGTTCTGATTCATGTTAATCGCAACAACCACTAGGGTAGTGCCTTTTAGCTCACACTTTTCAACACATTTATAATTGCTCATTATACCGAGTAAAATATTGTTTTAAAATATCTATGTACAGAAAGCTCCTAAGGTATGTACGAAGAAAGTTGTGGTTTTCAAAATTATGTAACCGGTCGGGCTCAATAAAATGTTTATTCTAACAGCTTTTCGACACATGTATCAACGATTCTATAGTTTATGATGTTCTTTTTTTCTATGTAAGTTTATGTCTTGATCATTGGCCGTTTGTTTTCCTATTGTTTAACAAGGCTTGATGAGAGTGACTTCGTTATATGACTAAAACCTAACTGTTGGTTATTAGGATTAGAACAGGAAATAAAATCTTAGAGTGCCAAGAAGAGTGAACTTTCCACTTTGTAAAAATGTGGTACAAAAACCCTGTCATGTTGTTTTATATTATCTTAGCTGACCTCCTCGCAAAATATAGGACTTTAATAAACTTTGAAAACTCTAAGGACATATATCGAGATCTATTTTAAAACTGGAATGGTTACGAACGACCATGAAGTCGTTTTAAGCAATGATACATTTAGTGAATACTTTGCATGTATTTTGTGTTGTAGGTTTCTGAAATTATGTCGACTACCTTAGAATGCTTTTACAATTAACTGCCTGTACAGGTAAATATTTAACAATTGCTAATTTTGTATTTATTTATACAATCTTAAAGAATGATATTAGATAAATTGCAGGGTAATTACTTGTTATCAAAGACTAAAAAAAATGTTTTATGTGTAAAACACAACACAGGTAAATGTGTGTGAGAAATAAGCTAATAGGTTCCAATTAATTATATGAATTGTTTCTCGTCAAAGGTTACAGAAAATCTTTACAAATTTAATTGTTTTGAATTTAATAAGACGCCCACAAAAAGAACCATATCATAAGATTTCGTTTGAGAACTTGGCATATGTTATCATATAAAGGACTTATTTCATACAGATAAGCTGTTCATATACCTCCATATGTCCAGTTTTAAATGAACTTCTGTAAAGTTAGACAACGTACGGTTGATTGTTTCCAACTTGTAGGCAAACTGTATCTGTCTCTATAACCCATTTAGCTGAGGGCACAGTGTCTTGAGGAGCTTTATTGTTCCTCTGGTTTGCTGCTTGTGGTAGCAGGCTCTCTCGCAGATTCTCGTGGCCGTTACAATTCCTCTCGTGTTTGCCGCTGTTGATCATTCCTGTGGCAGCTGATTGCAGGATGAAGCACGGCAGTACTGTCTTGAATTCCTTCCTGAAATTTTCGTTCAACCACGCGTATAAGAAAGGATTGTAGCACGTGGAACTCATTGCGGCAGCGTGACACAGAAAGTAAAAAGTGTTCATATACTCCCAATTCATGGCAGGAATATAGAAATCTCCCACCAGATTGAAGATGTTCAGGGGCAGCCAAGATGCTCCAAATACAATCACCATGGCTATCAACATTCGATTAGTTCTTCTGGTCCGTTCTCGCTCCTGTTCTTCCTTCTTTACTGACTTGGCTCCCGGCTTGGATCGGGCACGACGCCTCAGCTTGACACAGACTGTAATATAGCAGACACTGATGATGATGAACGGGACAACAAACTGCAGCACTGAAGTGCACAGCCCGAAGACCCGGCGACTGGCTTCTTGAGGCCAGCCTTCATCACAGTAAAATATGTCGTTATCTTTAAACAGTTTCATTAAGATTCCGTATGGTAAGGTCAGTAGACAAGCCATAGTCCAGATGAGAATAATTAGCATGATACAGCAGCTTATCTTCAACCGCTGTTTGAATGGATAAATTATGACGAAGAAGCGGTCAATAGCAATGGACATGAGGGTAAAGGCCGAGATATAGACGCTGACACCTTGAGCATATGGCACAAGATGACACAAAACACGGCCAAATACCCACTTCCGAAGAAAGATATATAGAGGAGGAAATGGTACAGCAAAGGTACATAGTAAAATGTCAGATAAAGCCAGGTTGGTTATGAAGTAGTTGGTAACAGTTTGCATTGATTTGTTACGGAAAACTACGTAACACACCAACACGTTACCACATATTCCGAGCACAAAAATTATTATATACAAGCACGAAAAAAAGGCCCGCATAGCAGGCGTGTTTGTAAAGTCTTCCAAAATACTGTATTCATCTGTGATGGTTAAGTTATCACCAGTTGAATTTAGGGACAAATCTTCACAAGTTTGATTTTCTAAGGAAATATTTCCTATTAAATCACTTATGTTGTTTGTCAAAAATATAGACTTCATTTTCTTTGTTTTTATATTCGTATTTTTTAAAAAACCCTTTGTTGTTATTGATATTATTTTTACCAAAGGTAGACTGGATCGCTTATTCTTCAAATTTTAAAACTACAGTTAAATTTTACAACGTTTTTGGTGCATTATGCACATGAATTTAAGTTTATATATTTGAGTTACAGAAATATTATCTCAATCATAATTATTAACTTAGAACTTCTATGGAAATACCTATTTTAGAATTTGACTATGAATCTAAAATCATTTTGAATGATTAGCTACTCGAAAAATAGAATCTTAGCAAAGACAAAACTTTTTCTAATGTTTTACTTCACCAAGACGACGAGTGACTATAAATAAAATATCTGTTGTGAACACTTTAACTTAACTAATACGAATGTTGATCAGCAACCTGATATTTTTAGAAACCTAATATTACTTTAATATCTAATGTATTTTTTAACCAACGCGAATGTTGATCGGAAATAAACTATTTCTTCTTACTGTTTTGCGTTATCCATACAGGAGACTTCTATACGAGGTTTGACATCAATTAATATTCACTGTGCTCATAAAATAGCAGACCTTCTTTCCCCTTCACCATTAAAGTTATTGTTCAAGAACGAATTAAACCCTTTAAGTATGTTTTCTTAAACATCATTAATGTTGCTCAAGAGATGTTGTTTTTCAAATGTCTAAAAGTATATATTTTCTAGATGTTTGGATTATGATAAGAAACAAAATAAATCTTCTAGATGTAGTGCTGACGTCATTTAGTAGCAAAATTATCTCTACAAGATGTTGTGCTGGTGTTTTCGTTTTGTTCAGAAAATTCCGTTTGAGAGTTAGTTCTTTTCACCAGAAATCAAAGATTTTGTAAACAAGTGAATGAAATAATGTCGGAAGGATCAATTTCACTTGATCAGTGATGACTTCCAGTTGATACTCTTGGAGCTGTAATAAATAAAACAAATGTTTTATTCGCATCAATACTTTCTTCCGTTAAGAAATTAAATAAGTCAATATAAAGATAAGTGGATAAAATATATAAAATTTTGTGCTTCAACTTTATTTTTATTTATTTATATATAACACGCAAATGAATAGATAATATTTACTATTTCTTCAAATTTCCCGAGTAATCCAAGCACCAACCATCAAACAGAGATTAATGAATCATTAAGTTTTGATCTTTTCAGTGGCTTACAAATAACTAACTTATTTCTCACACAAAACTAGATAAACACCCATAATTATTTCTTAACATTTTACAGATTTTTATCATTCACACACATATACACATTATAAACTTACAGTATTTGGAAATTCGTTTGAGAACTAACCAATAAAATTCATCAAGAAATCCTTGCGATTTTGAGTGAATTAATATATATATATATATATAT